AGGGTTTGCCCTACCTGTGACAGTACAGCAACCCATCTCTTAAAGATCTGGCTGTTGCAGTTGAACCCGAGGTGTTTGGCTTGTGGTTTTTTTGTTGCCTTCAGTAGTCTTTATGATCCACTTTCCTGCAGGACATGTAGCATGGATATCCTGAGCAATGGTAAATGCAGGGTGTAAGCAGGACTGGGGGGCCTTAACTCCTGGGGGGTTGCTCACCAGCAAGAGCGCTCAGCTGGTGAGTGTTTAGAGACATTGTCGCTGCGCTGAAGGGTGAGGTCCTGCAAGATGTTGGAGGTGGTCAAATGGTTCCCCAGTGCCAAACAGCTGCTTCTCCCAAAGCTGGTTGTTGCAGCCCCTCTAACCCTGTGTGCCACATCTGCTATTCCACAGTGAGATGGTTTAGCTGGCATAAAACTTACTGGCTGTGGGGGGAGAAAAGTTGGGCTGGTGATCCTGCACACTGAACTGGCTCAACCAAGGGGCCTGAGGAACACTGCAGTGGGTGCAAGGGACGGGGTGAGGCTGCTGGTTTTGGTGGCAGCCAGCTGTGAAATGGCACCCAGCGACCCAGGGACCATGATGGAGGGGGATGAGATGCAGCCATGAGTGCAGCAGTCTCGTGTAATCCTGGGTTTGGACCTGATGCTGGAGCTGCCAGAGACAAATGCGAGGGTACAGCCCTCTGCCAGCATCTCGTTACCACTACCCCTGTTTAAAACTGGGATGGCTCTTCCACTGGGACCATCCCCATGGTCTCTTTAGACCTTTAGCTCCTTATGACTCAAATTTCCCTTCTGTGCTAAGCATGAATGGCACAGAGACTAGCACCAGCCCTGGAACTGTGATACACGTGGAGGGGAGGTATATACACCCCTATAGACGTCACCATAGCTCTCAGTGATGGGAGATCCCACCCACTAAAAGGCATTAGACCTCCTACTTGTTTACAAAATTTTAAAAGTCAAATTATTTTTTTTTCTCCCCCTTGCCAGTTCTGATTGAAAATTACTCAGGCACTCAAGGAGACACCTCTGTGTTAGCTCCTTGTGGAAGGAATATCTTCTTTCTGCTGCCACTAGGATTAAACTTTGCTTTGAGTGATGTGCTTCTACTAATATAGGTGGGGGTCTCTTAGACAGAAGCCCTTTTAAGGGGCATTAAGAGTTGTAAATAGAGCTTTCATTCTTTTCTGAAGCCTTCTTTATACTGAAGCCCATGAATCATGCCAGCTGATGCCAGCTCAAGCTCTGATGGCCAATGGCTTCAGTGCTCCACTTAAAGCACTGAAGGGAAAGTCTCATAAATTTTAAAGTCTTATTCCCTTATCCTAAGTTTTCACAAGATTTTAGATGGCTTTGATATTTATGTAGATGCAGAGCATCTCTTCTGATCCGGTCATGGTTTTGGACTTCAGATCTAGTCTGGCATTTTTAACTGTGGCTCATAGACTTCTGGATGCTCTACTTAGGGCAGGATTTCTAAAGGGAATATTTTTCCCACCATCCCTCAATGCTAACAGGGACTTCCCAGCAGGGATATTCCAAGGATGTTTTGCATTTTTGTGCTGCTTCGTGTCTGTTTTAGTTGCCTTTCACTCCTCAGTAGTTCCTCAAGTTTGTGATTACAGTCTCATTTAACATCCTTTGCTATGGAAACTTGTATTAGTGCCAGGGAATTGCTAAGCAAATGCCAATGCAGAGTTTAAGAGTGGGAGCGAAGCATCATGAGACATGATGTTTATGAGGGAAGTAGAAGGTGGAATTCCTTTTGTGTAAACCCAAAAACCTGCATCAGTACCTTAATTATATCAAATTCCTCTCCCTGCCCCCGCTAGCCATTCTCAGGTTCCTATGGCTTTGGATTTTTGTTACCCTAACTATCTAAATATTTTCTGAATTTATCCAAGAAATTAAGAGATTTTCTAAAAGAATAATGAGGATATTGTAAAGGAAACAAAGCCCGCTTTGCTAAAGCTATCCTCTTCCTCAAAAATTGGTGGACAGGGACTGGAAGGGAGGGGGGAAGTAGATGAAAGGAGGGTGCATGTATTGCCAGAGCAATGGTCTTGCAAGAATCATGTAGCTGGTTTCACTTCTGTAAAATGAAACATGCTGTGCTTTAAAATGACAAGATTTCTTTCCAACCTATGGGAAGTTGCTGTTATTTAGTAACTCCAGGTTCCCCCGATGGTGAGTTGCTATTAAATAAAGTGAGTCATGGAAATTACAGCTCTCTGGAGATCCAGTTCTGGTGCCATGTCCCCATGTCGTGTACCTACCAACTGAACAGTCCTGGCTACCAAGTACTGGTAGGTGGAGTGGCTGTTCCAGAGAGCAGCTGTTCCTCAGATGCTGTAACAGATCCCACCAAAATGTTAAATATACCGTTGCTTTAATTTCTGATCTAAAAGGTCAAATGGAGGTAAAATTACCGGCTTGGCACTTCTAAGCTACAGACGTGCATGGTTTTGCTGTGACAGTTTTGCCATAGTAGGCACAACCACTGGGGTGAGGGTCTGGCTTGCTTTCTGAACAACATTGTGACGCTGGAAATAAGTCACAGACTTTCATGTGGCCAGAGTAGGAACTGGTCAACATCTCCCAGCTTCAGGTGACTTAAGCTGCTGTGCGTGTATTGAAACTCCAGCTGGAGAAGCAAACAAGTACTTTCCACCATAGGATAAATGAAGAAAGAAAGGTACACTAGCTCTAGTAAGAAGAAAGCACAGTACAAAAGTAAAAATGGATACTGTATAGAAGCCATTCCAGCCTTTGCTTTTTGCATTAAAAATATGAAAACTGTATGCTCAGTTTAAATACAAGCTTCAGCAGTGGTTTGGAGGCCTGAGTGCAGTCACTTCAGTCTCTTAAGTTACCAGTTGTTGGTCTTCAAAAATACATTACAAATCTCTCTGCTTGCTTGCCTGTACTGGTGCTGCTATTTGAAATGAACTCTTGGCTTCAATATTTCAGAGTTGCAGCAAAAACTGTGGTGAGTAGCACCTGCCCTCTGATGCTGAGCCCTGAGTAACCTGAGTCAGAAGAACAGGAGTAGCTGGAGCTCCTTGTTTTTCTCTTTGGTGTAGTTAGGGAATAGTGTTTTTCTTACAAAGATTCATTACTGATGCTGCGATCATGCATCAGAAGCCTTACTGTATACTGTTTTTCCTTGAGATAATTATCAAAAAGCTGCTAAGTTTACCTTTGTCAGGTTGAATATATCTATCTATCTATATGAATTACATATAGAAGTTCATCTACTTTAATAGCCACTTGAAAAGCTGCAAACTTTCCTCCAAAATGTCTGCATTCCACAAATTCAGCATTTCTTGTCAGTTCAGTCATCATAAGACTTGGAAACATTTGACTTTGATCTTCTGGATTGGGGTACAAAAACCTTGCCGTACAAAGCTGCAGTGACTGGCAGTGTGGTTTGGTCTCTGTGTAACTTCCAGGCAGAATTGTGGTGCAGAAGAGGCAGAAGGCTGCTGTCTTTACCTAGAGAGGAGGTTTCTGTGAATCTGGGCAGTTGGGATCCAGCATGGCTGTCTCCATTAGGAGGAAAAATTTGTAGGAACAACCCGATAGGGTTTCGTGGCTTGTAACAACAAGCCAAGACAGTATTTCATGAACACACAGGGATTTTCTTTGCTCAGGTAGCAGTGTAGCAAACAGACATATACTACTTCCTAGCTGTTTCTGATGCCTCTAAACAGAAACACACCAGACCCTGTCTTTATTATTGGAGAGGAGCTGTGACTTGTCAGGTCCTGGAGCTGCCCTCCCTTGATTTTGAAGACCTAATCTAAGCAGAGAGCCACAACCAGCTCAGGCTTCTCAGGTTTCAGGCTGTGCCCATGGCTCTGACATTTTTTCCTCTAAGACTGGAAAAAAAGCAGTGGTAACACATTAATAAACATTGGGCTCGTTGCTGTCTTGGGATCAGGGACTTGGTGACAGCTAATGGAAACCTTCAGCAAAATAATGTGCAAGTACAGAGCACTTGAGATGCCCTACTGGGATGAACGAAGGGTGACAAAATCCTTCAATCCCAATCAGATGACCCCTTACTAGAACCACAATGGTATCCATGTCTGGGTACACTTCTGTTTCCTTTTTTTGTATAAAGGAGGGGTGCAGAAATTCCCCAGGGTGAGATGCCAAACACTGCAGTTAGCATCGCTTCATCCAAGCCTTTGCTGCATGAGCTTGGCCAGGGTGCAGAAGAGGTGCCCATTCAGAGGCAGGGCTCTGCAGAGCCAGGGAGCCCCTTGCAGCGTCTTGTAGGGCCATCCATCCGAGTTGGGGGTGATGAGAAACTGGCAGTGGGGATGGGAGAGAATTCGGTGCCAGTGACTTGTGTGATGCTGGCGCTGGGAGCCGGTGATGCTGGTCCAGCAGGTCACTGCAGTTGGTAGATTTCCATCAGCAAACTTGGATTTTTTGGAGGGGAATAAAGGGTTCTCCCTGCTCATCTCTCTCCTGCTTTTTAGGAGGAAAATCTGCAACTTTGAAGTTACATTTGAACGTATAAGAGGAATACCTGCCTGTCAGCATAACATAGCCCTGAGGTACGTGCCAAATTCTGTCATCTACTATGCCCGGATTTAAAAAGTGCTGAGAGGCCAGGACTCACAGATTGTATCACCCCTGGAAAAGAGGTCTCCACCCGAGGGAATTGGCTCTGTTCCCAGAGTAACGTGAGCCAGTGACTGAGTCACTACAGCTTTGATTTTTTTTTATTATTATTATTTTTTTTTCATTAATTTGGGTTTTTGAGTTAGAGGTCTCTGTTCCCATGCCTGCCTAGACAAAACTCTGTCTGTGATCCAGTCAGTGGAATAAAAACTGGTGTGATGTAACTGCAAATAAAACAGAGCGTTCAGTGCTGAGAAATGTGAGCATCAAAAACCTCAAAGTAAGTAGGCATCAATCAATCTCTTAAAAATAGCTAATCTAAAAATAACAGATTAGGGAGGGAACTCTCATGAAAAGCAGTTAAGGAGCTTATGTCTGGAGACAAAGGACAAAGAACAGCGCTCTGTCTGCAATATATTTTTGCTTTTAGGCAATAAATAAGCCTTAGGACAGAGGGCAGGGCCTCTTCTGTGTCTCTTCACATGCAGAGTTAGTCTTAGTCCTGTGCTTTCACCCAAGGAATTCAAGTCCAGCTCACTCAGGAACACGGTGTATGAAATTGTGCTCCAGCAGGGCAAAGGTCTTGTGGGGTTCTCCTGCCTCAGCCCAAGTCCAAAGTTTTTGTCTTCCTTCTCCCAGGCTGTGTCAGCACTGGGAGTGGAAAAGCAGGCTGAGAAGCAGTGAGTATGTGCCAGCCCTGGAAGCAGCACAGCTCTTCCTGCTCCAAAAGATATTACAGGATAGGCTCCCTATGCTAACTGGAAGCCATGAATAATGCAACTAGAAAGACACCAGAAATTCTAGCCTAAAGCCAGCAACAAGGCTCCAATCTCTTTAAAACAAAAAACACACTGTTGGTTTAAATCTTTCAGTAGTAGTGGGGGTTTCTGGAGCTGTGAGGATTGAAGCTGCAGGTGAGTGTGATAGCTTAGTGTTCCTTCTGAGGGGGTCGTGTAGATTTATTGCATGATAACATGTTCCCAATGTTGACACTGGATCAGGGTAGCTCATGTGAACACTTGCAAGCAAGCTGAGGGCTGCCACAGACTGAGGGGAAGATCACTTAATGTGTTAATGTGTCACTCTGCCAGGTTTAGCTCTGCTTCCCTCTTTATCTCCAGGCTGGGAGGCAATTTCCATTGTGCTTTGACTCTGCTGACAGCTCACAAGAGGAAGACCCAAAACCACTTTCTTACTGCTGAATAGCCTGAAGCAAAAAGGGAGCAGCAAAGAGAAGCCTTTTCTTTCCTCCTGGCATAACTGCCAGGCCTCCCAAGGAAACCAGCAGGACTTTGTGAGCATTTCACAGCTCAGGAAAGAGCCCTGCCCTGCCCAGGTGGAGTACTGGAGAAGAACTGGAAGCCAACAGCTCTCTGAGCATTTTCTTGCTGCCTTTCCAGCAGCAGCATGTCTCTGTAGAGAGTCAGAGCTCAGCAGAGCCCTTTTCATGTAGGGGCACTGACACACATCTGGCGTTTGATGAGCTTTAGTCCTTTAGCTGTGACTCAGCCAGAATGCAGGCACCAGAAGTGAACATTTCTTGAATGGACCTTGGCAGAGGGACAGACTTTAGCAGCCATAACCTCATAAAAAGAAATTATGGGAAAAAGTGTGACTACTCCCAAAAAACCCAACCCTGCCAAAAAGCCCCAACCCACCCTACCATAATGTATGGGGCGCGTAATAAGACTGTCATCTCAAATCAAGATAGACTAAACAGGATTAGAATGGAGCCTCCATTTTAAATTATAAAGATGCTCTCCTAGAATTGATGTGTGAAACTAATACCAAAGCCATTGTCAATCCTATGTCTTACGAATTAGAACTCAGTTAAAGTAAAATGAAGGGCTGACAGCTGCAAAAACTAGTTAGAAACTCCCTGAAGCAATACAGTGGAGAGAACTGCTGGGGGACCAAGTAACATTTTCTGTGAGCAGAGGGTGATTTCCTTCCAGCATTCCATGCTCTCTGGCCTTCTGTTTCACTCTATTCATCATAACCCCACTTGCAGGAGGCCAGCCTTTTAGATTAAAGTCCTGACTCTTCTCTTTATTGAGTCTGGCTTCTAGAAGAAACAAAGCCAATGTGGATGTGCTCATCTCAAGTTGCTTTTGAACTCTGATCAAATCTGATAGGTAATGAACTTGGAGCTGATGTGCTTGCTATAACAAAAGTCTGTTACTAGACAGAGGAGAGAACCTAGCAGTGTAGGAAGTCAGTGAAGGTGGCTCAGCTCTTAAGCACTGAGGGAATTCTAGTGGAGAGAAGCGCGTGAATGCTGCAGTTGACACTTCTTGCTGGAACTCTGTACTTTATCAGGCACTGGAAAATCTAGGTGAGAAGCCAGCCCTTATTTCCCATTCACCTGGGACTGTTTACTTGAAGAGAGGCTGGAAGCATCTTTTGGAAATTCCCTAAGGGCCCAAATACATGAGAACATGACAGATCCTTGGTGGATATTTATGTGCGTATAGATGTGTGTAGGTCCAGCTGAAACAATTTCCATCCAGATCCCAGGAGTGCAAGAACTGGAAACTCACATGCTCCCTGCCAGGATTAATGGAATCCAGTTGCTGGCTGATGTGTATGGTGACTAAGAAGCAGAAGAGACTCTAGATCACTCAATTCATAGGGTAGAAATAAGAATGAAAGGGGATAAACAGCAGAGGAGAAACCAATGCTTAAAGGGTTATTTTGCCCCAAAGGGAGACTGAGAGATTAACCTAGATAAGACCCATCCTGTTACCCCAAATGTCTCTGCTCTATGTGCTTCCTTCATCATGCCTGCAAAGTGCAGGATTGCCATTGGGCAGCAGCTGTGTCCCAAGCACAGGGAGAGCAATTAGGATGTACAAAATCACTGGGTAGCGAGAATGCAAGGGAAGAGCATGGGTGTGGAGGCTTAAACAGAAACACATTGCAAGAGGGGAAGTCTGGAAGGCGGAAATACAACGACAGTTAAGACAGACCCAAGTTATGCTTAGGTGCAAGATGAGAGCTAAGTTACAGTGTGCCTTGTGTATGTCCTGGAGTCACATAATGCTTTTGTTTTGTGGTTAGTGAATGGTGATGCAGAAAGGCTCTCTGTAGGGAGGAAATGAGAGCCCTACGTCTGCATCCATTGTGCTAAAAGTTTAAGCAGAAAAAAGAGTAATAGTGTTAACATCCTAAAAAACTTTCCTTCATAGTCGATTCAAGCAGCAGCAGATGCAAAGGGGGTAGCCCTAAAAAGAAGAGAGGTACTATCAGAGGGGTAGGAACCATGCTTCTGTGCCCATTCCAGCAAAGGCTCTCAAAGGAGAGACACAGGATTTGGTACAGGACTGTAAGAAAAAAAAATTGTCTCCTGCTTGTACCAGAATATCCCCAACATTCACATTTTCAAGCCTTTGCCACAGAAAACTACTTTTTGAAGAGAGTGAGGTCCTCCTGAAATGACAAAATTCCAAGACATGGTATTGATACATGAACTGGCTCCCATGATTTCATGTTGACTTTAGAAGTGGCACCTTAAAAAGTCAGATACTTCTGGCAGACCCACAACAGATTCCTGGGAGTGGAAAAAAAAAAAAAAAAAAAAAAAAAGAAGTCAGTTTACTGGCATGTGGTACAACAGAAATAACTTTTGGTCTTTGAAACTTCCTGTACCTTAGGGTGTTGATCGCAGCAAGCAAAAGGCTTAAACCTCTACTTACTGAAGGAGGAAGGAAAAAGCATTACTTGTCTTATGGCCAGGGAAGAGAAGGCCAAGAATTTTTCAGATGCCTGGCTGACCCACTTTTTGTAATGCAGACAACTGCATTTCTGTTCGTAACCTTAACCTGTCTTGAAGAGAAGTAGTTACCGGAGTACAGTTTATGGGGTTGGGGTAACTTGGTTGATGCCTACTTGACTATGCATGAGAAAGACAAGTAGGATAGCTTATACGTTGACCTTAGTGTTAACCAGGAACCTGAATCAGCTTTAAGTGCTCTGTGATAGTTCAGTCCAAACTCTGCAGGGCATTAGCCCTGCAGTTACCACTGTTTGGAGGTAGTAATGACAAGGAAGGGTATTTCAGTTTAAGTGGAACTGACCCTTTACAGGGAGGTTTGCTGGTTTGAATGACTGCCTTTGGTGTGGCAAAACATGAAACACACAGTGTCTTTTTATGTGGTCCTGGATACTTAAGTGCGGCAAATCTGGAGAGACTGGTAATATTCTTCATCTGACCAGCTAACACAGCTGGATAAATCAATGAGCTTTAGGGCAACCAAACCCCTTTTTCTGGGGGGGTTTCACAGGTATGGTTTGGGGATTTTTTCCCAGGTAAGCAAGTATATTCCCCCCCAAGTATGCTAACCCAGGTCTGGCCTTGGTAGGAATCAGGATGGATAATACACTTAGACCAGGGAGCTTGGAGATGCTCCTGTGTGTCTGCTGTCGTCATGCAGCTTTTATGTCTTTTGCCTCTGCAGCTGAGCACACAAAGGACACAGCTATAGGTGATGGAGTGATGATCATGCAAAAAGTTACTTGAGAATGCCAGGTGTCTTACCTTTCATGGGGTGGTCGAAAACAGCTTTTCTTCCAGCCTTCCTCAGCCCTTTGCTATTTGCAGTACCACCAGCAAACCTTACTGGTCTGGAAGGAGTAGAGGTGAGTTGCAAGTTGCAGTTTCTCATCTCATGGGTTCGAAGAGCTGTTTCTCACGTTGGCTTGCCTGAAGCCTGAAAACACTCATGCCTGGGGTAACCGCAAGAGGCTTTTCCAGAGCAAAGGCCATGAAAGCACTGTCTGTAGGGTTTGAGGGGCACTTCAGAATGGGAGTCCAGTACAGCCTGATCCTCCATCCATCTTAGTAAAAGTCTCCAGAGCTGGGAAGTAAAACACATGCAAAAAATAGATTTAAATATACTGATATTCTTCTTTGCTTTCAGTTTTGAGAACAAGGGGCTAGTTCGTTGTGAACTCAAACCACTTAAGTATACAGACTACGAACTTGGGTTTAATCATTTCTATTAAACAACAGAACAACCTTTATATAAATCAACACTGAGAAAGTCAACCTTGTTTGTGTTTCCTTAGCACCCTTTCTGCCCTGGGCACTTCCTGCTGAATAGAAGCTATTCAGCTGTTACTCTGTTTTCATGCACTAAAGTCCCATCTAGCTATTGTGAGAGAAGGAAGTGAGTAGACAGAGTTGCTCCCCTGTGGTGCAACAGTGGAAAAGGACTGAAAAGACATGAACTCGCTAGTTCTACTGTTTATGAAGACAGATTTTTTGTTGATGCTAAGTTTTTAAGATGGTAAGTCAGCAGATACTCATTAGCTTCAACGACATGAAATTGTACAGGTTAAGACTCTGGCCCCAACACCATCAACACTCTGAAAACTTACATTGTAACAGAGCTGCAATAGTCAGAAAACATATTTCCTTTCCCCATCTGTGACTCTCAGTAGTTTGAACTTTGGTAAATATCAAGTGTGGGGTTTAATTATGTGTTTCCTGGTTCTTGTGTACCTTTTGCTTTAATTAACTTCAGACACGGCTGCTGGTGTAGTTTTATCATGCGCTAACACTAACAAACTGATAAAAAGGAGGAGAATAGTACACTCTTACAGACTTGCCCTAAATACCGTATGCAAATGTGATCTTTTTGTTGATAATGCAGTCCGTAAGGAATAAAGGTAAAGTGTGTAGGTTATAATGGCAGGGGGACCCAGGGAGTGCACTGCTCTATCAGGAGGGCATAGGACCTCTCTCTTCTGGTGAGGGAGAGGTGGGAAATGAAGGTAAGTTCAAAGACTTGGCTGTCCACCTAATATGACAAATAGAAACTGTTAAGATGGCATTGTTTGTTAATAAAAATTACAGCTTCCTTGTCAGTTCTGCTTGCTGAAGCTCCTTGCTTTTCCAGGAGCCAGCAGTACCTACCAGTGGCGTTCCCCACTGCCCGAGATTTTCTAATGGCAGAAACTTGGGATGATCCAGTGGGGTGAAATCACAGAGATGGCTGGTTTCTGCATGCTGTAATATTGCATGTGCTCCCGTAGCTAAATAAGGCAGATTGGCTGATGTTTTGCATTCCTTAGCTCAGAAAAGGTGCCATCCCACTCCCCAGAGGGATGGGTAGTTCTTGGGGAGAGACGCTGAATGGCAAGGGGTAGCCTGGCACTAGAGCTGTCTGGGTTTAGTTACAGCCCAGGAAGTAGCTAGGTTTGCATCTCTGCTTGCATAGTGACCCCAGAAGTCCAGGCCTGGCTCAAGGGAGGCTAAGTACAAGGCAGAATTGTAGCTTCTGTGCCTGAAAAGCAGGCCCAAAGGTTCTCCCTGTGGGAACCTTCCCCAGCTAGAGCCAGCTCACCTGGGAGAAGAATGAAGCCCTCCTGGCAGCCACGGAACTTCAAATTTATTTCCTTCCTTTTAACAACTTCCTTCTAAACACATCAGTTTGCCACCTGCAACTTCACAGTCCAAAGCTTCTTGGAAAAAACCTACCAGCTCCTTCCCAGTCTCAGTGGCAGTGTGCATGCCAAGAAGTGCAGCCAGCTCTCCCCTGCAGCACTCTCCTCAGCTGGCAGCTTTGCTCCCGGACTGCTTGTCCAGACAATGAAAGGGGCTGCTCCCTGACCTCCACTGGCAGTGGTGTCCCGGGATGTCTGGCTGTGCTGCGCACGCTCTGTCGGGTGGCACAGCAATATATTCTCTTCGCTGTGAAAGTGTCTGGCTTGTGTCCAGCAGCACTCACTGCACCCCTCTGTTAAGAGGGTGAGGATGGCTGTGTTGCTCCCCCATGACTGCCACAGGGGTCCTCGTCACCATGCCTGCTGCAGCACACGGCAGTGGTGCCATGGGCCAAAGTGATGTGTATGCCCCAAATTCAGTCTGGTTCGTATCGTATTTCCCAGCAGGGTTTGCAATGCTTCCACCGTGCTGCCTGTTAAACTCCTCAGTGGAAGAGCACGAACACCCTTGCTGCACAGCAGCCAATGACTGGCCTTGTTACCAGAAAGTGGTAATTAATTCACTCTCCAAGAGTCAATTTTGGAGTTTTAGAAAACAGGCATTCTTTATGACAGCACTGGACACACAGGGGATAGCTCCTCCTAATGTGTGTATGAGAATGAAATCAACAAGCATTTATACTACCTTAATCATACATATTAATTGCATTTTTATCATATTCATAACTTTTCTGGGAACTCATTTAGCATATGTTAATGTCTCTTGTGTATGTCAGCTGGAGACTTCAGCTGGTTGTCAGGGGCCTTCAGATGAAGGCTCGTAGTCTTCTTCACTGTGACCGCCAGTTGACCCTTAATTCTGCACAAACTCAGTCCTGCGGTCACCTACATCTTGTCCTTCAAGGCTGGCCTGGTCTGGTCTTGTTGCCAATTTGCAGCTTCTTTATGTTTCTTTGCACCTGCCATTACAAGGCCATACCATTTCCAGCAAGATTATTTATGAGTTCCTTATCCTACAGTTATTCCAACTATTCCTCAAAAGATGAGTATTTGTTCTGCAGCACAATTGTTAAATGGTTAAAACATCTTAAATTGATCTTAATTCCATTCCACAAATATCTTTTTTCTAATAATCTTAGTTTGCAGGTATCAGCCTCACCTTTCCCTGACCTCCATATGAATTACTGCAGATGAGCTCTGTAAACCCTAGGAGGAAGACTCACAGCCTACCCGCCGGCTTACATCCCCGGTGAGAATTGCGTTTGTTCCTTCTCCGGGCCCCTCTGGGATGTTTCCACCCCACAGACCCAGCACAGCCCTGTGCTTGCTGCTGCTCGGGGCTTTTCCAGCGCTTTGGCTCAGGGCTTGTGCAGCGGCGGTGTAAAACGACCAAGTCCGGAGCAGGCTGAGACAAAAGACCCACGTGCCAGGCACAGGACAGTGCCGCTGGCTGCCCCGCTGCTGGCTCACCTCACCCAGCTGAGGGGCGGTGGTACCAAAACCTCTCCCCTCTGAATTCAGAGAATTAAAACCGAGTTAAACGTGTTCTGAGGAAACCTGACTGGGAGCAGCTTTGATTTCCCCTTCCCCGCCCGCCCCCCCCGTATTTCTCTCTATGTATTTTTTCTCCTCTTTTCTCGTTCTCCCCACACAAAGCCCGCCCGCAGCCCCGCGGGACTCCCCGGCCCAGCCGCCCCCAGGGGCGGACCCACTGCCCGCGCAGACGCTCTCGCCAGCGCGGAGGCTCCGTGTCTCCTCTTGCCGCCCGTGTCCGTGTCACCGTGGGTTTCGCCGCCTTTTCTCCTCCCCACGGCTCCGTGCCCGGGGTCCCTCCGGCCGCGCTTGCCCGCAGCCAAGATGGCTCTGGCCGCTTCACCTCCCTGACAGGGCGGCCTGGGAGCGGGAGGGTCCTGCCGCGGCCCGTCGCTCCCGCCCGGCAGCGGGGAGGAGGGTTTGAGGGGGCTGTGGGGCTACAGCCCGGCCCGGGGCAACCCTGGCATGCTTTTGGCTTTCGCCGTATTCCCCTCCACGATGTTTTGCTGTCCGCGGGGTGCTGCAGCCTGCTTTTTTCCTCAGTGGCGGGGGGGGGGTGGGGGGTGGAGGTGGCAGCCATGATGACGCTGTGGTGGGTTCTGGCTTTGCAGGAGGCTGACCTATGTTTGCTCCTGTTTCCCTTCACTGCCAGTCGTTGA